AAAAAAAAAAAAAAATGCCAATTCATTGCTTTTTTTTTCCTGCGTTATTAGTTTTTTAAAAAAAGAATGAATTTCTGGCAATTTAACGTGGAAGGACAAATTGCTACCAACAAGTCAGGCTCAATGATCATTTCAGTACTTTTCAAAGATCAAGGACTTTTTTTTGTATAAATTTGAAAGTTGAAAGATTGTTTTGGTATTTTAAGCTTCTTTTAGTTCTATGTATTGGAGAGGAGTCAATCTTAGAGTCTCTGTTGATGGGTTGAATAAAATAATATGAATTGTGATGATTTGATGTGAATAGATGCTCTAATGTTCATAAAAATTAAAAATTTAAGTTATTTCATCATAACATTTACATTTACAGCACGAGTATTATCTAGTTTATTTACTAAAGTTGATTGCACACAAACTTCAGGTTTCTTGACCCATTTTCTGAATTCTGACGTACAAATGCAGGACACTGGTATGTCAGGAAAAATAGCGGCAGCATTCCTCAGTTAAGAGGTGCAAAATGTTTCTCATTTGAGGAGCTTAAGAAATATACAAATAACTTTTCAGAGGCCAACAATATTGGATACGGGGGTTATGGAAAGGTGCTTCTCGCTCTCTCTCCTTACAAGTGAAATGATTATTCTCCCTTAAATAAAATTGTGCTACTAACCCTTTTGCATTTTATCTGATAATTTTACAACACGCATGTATTGGTCTTAGTTACTATAGATACATAGATATATGCTTTTCAAAAAAAACAAAGATACATACATATATAACAATCTCATATACATGTATGGAGCCATAGATTTAAGGTTGCAAAACACTTGTTTTGCCACTCAGAACTCCATGATATGCCTTTCTTCAATTTAATTCTACATGTTGGTGTAACAGATTTCTCTTTCTAGATATATAACTTGAAGAATACATAACATATGTTTGATTACATATTTAAGGTGTAAAGAATAGTTGACACAATAATGGGGCATCACTTCAAAACTTTGAGGTTTTATCTTTGTAATAGGTTCAAGTTCTAGTTTAGTACCTTGGACCTATTTAGTTTGTTTTATAATTTCAAGAGATCATTTTCTTATTTAGTTTGGAGTTTGGACTTAGGGTTTTGTGCCTTATAAGTAGTCTTGTTAGAACATCAATTGGTCTTGGTAAATTGAAAATATTTTTCAAAAAAATAATAATAATTCTTCAACTTTTCTTCTCACCTTAGCTTCTCTTTGTCTTGGTTCTACACCACACAGCCACTGCATATATTCAAAATGTTGGCTCACAGTCCATGAGCATTTGTGCAAACCAACAAATAGCACCTTCTCTCAGAGTACATTGATAATGCACAACTCCTTGTTTTTTGCTTTCACCACTAGAAAAAAATTACTCCCTCTATCTCAAAATAATTGAAGATATTTTACCTTCAAATTTGGGGATAATCTATACTTTTACCTATATTACCCTTCAGAAAAATAAAGATAATGGGTATTTTTTTTATGATAAGATGGATAATTAAAGTCAAGGATAATGATAAGGTTAAAGTAGGGAAAATTTTTTTATCTCCTATAAAGTATAAAAAAACAACAATTAGTCTGAAATGGGGGGAGCAATGTAATAGAAGAAGGAATAATAGGCAAATTAACCGTTCCAAAAAATAATTTTCACAAAAAATAAGCCCTTGATGAAACTTTTGTGGCTAACCATCCTTGAACTTACCAATAGCAGCAAATCTCGCCATGGTGATGGAAATATTAGTCAATATTGGTCAAATTATAATTTATCTTATGTGGTGTGATAGGCTGACAAACATTAGCGAATGATGTCCATCAACTTTGGGGAGATTTGCTGCCGTTTGTAAGTATAAGCATGGATTTGCCATCAAGGATTCATTAAAGGCTTATTTGCTAGTAAAAACTATTTTGAGAGGCTTATTATAAAAGAATACCCGCCAATTAGTAGTTTTAGTTGGAAAATTGTATTAAAAATAAGGGTAATGATTTGTGTATAACCTTTTTATACAACTTTCACATTTCATTAAATGAGTGGATGCATACAATATCATAGGTTAGAATGAAACTATATATGCAGTATAATCAATGCTATGCTACTAAGTAAATCATGAACATGATATGATTAACATAATAATGTTAACTTCAAACTTTTGTGAATCCAGCAGGTTATTGCCAAAATAACTTCAACACTGCTGTTCCTTTTCTCTAATTTATATCTTTGTCTTCAATTGTTATCTGTGTCACATGATTCTTAAAGTTTCAATCTTCACTCAATTACAGGTTTATAGGGGAACTCTTCCCAGTGGAGAGTTGATTGCAATCAAACGAGCCCAGCAAGGATCAATGCAGGGTGCGCTGGAATTCAAAACAGAGATTGAACTTCTGTCTAGAGTCCATCATAAAAATGTTGTTAGTCTATTAGGATTTTGTTTTGAGAGACATGAACAAATGCTAACATATGAATTTGTTCCAAACGGCACTTTGCATGAAGCTCTATCAGGTATGTTCCTCCATTCTTGACCCAACAGGAATTACTTAACAAGTTAGACAGGATGTATTTTTATAATTTATATATACTATTTTTACATGTCTGCAGGAAAGTCAGGAATCAGACTGGATTGGACCAGGCGACTCAAGATAGCCCTTGGTGCAGCTAGAGGCTTGGCATATCTGCATGAACTTGCCAATCCTCCTATCATACATAGGGACATTAAGTCGGCTAACATATTATTGGATCAGCACCTCACTGCTAAAGTTGCCGATTTTGGTCTTTCCAAGCCTATAAGTGACAGGGAAAAAGGTCATGTTACCACTCAAGTCAAAGGTACAATGGTGAGTGCTTTTGTACACCCACTTCTGTGTGATAAGAAAGATTTCCTGTCTTCTGCATAAATAATGGGGATTAAGAAGCAACAGAGGTTTCTACTGATCATAAGAAAGAAGCAACAAAGCTTATATGTGATCAGTAATGTTTGTCTTTATAGATAATAGTAGTGTGAAGTTTAATTAAGAGGTTCTCTAGAATGAGTCAATGATAAAAGTTATTCAGCCATATAGATTTTATATCATTTCACATCAAAGATTCAGAATCCTATGCAAGCTAAATATTTTTGAAAATTTTGAGTATAACAAATTTATGAGGAAGAAAAGAGAAAGCTTTAGTTTAGTGATGATTGTTTACCGTGCTAGAAGAATTTCATCATGCCTGTGGTTTTTGTTATTGGTGTAGGGTTACATGGATCCTGAATATTTTATGACCCAGCAGCTAACTGAGAAGAGTGATGTTTATAGTTTTGGGGTGCTTTTGTTGGAGCTGATAACTGCAAGAAAACCAATAGAGCGAGGGAAGTATATTGTAAGAGAGGTGAGGATGGCAACAGATAAGGCAAAAGATTTGCATGGTCTACATCAGATTCTTGACCCAGCCATTCTGGATACAAGCTTGAAAGGTTTAGAAAAGTTTGTGGCCCTAGCAATGCGCTGTGTGGAAGAATCAGGAGCTGACAGGCCTAAAATGAGTGAAGTGGTAAAAGAGATCGAAAGCATCACGCTGATTGCTGGGATGAATCCCAACGTTGAGACACCCACAAGTTCATCAAGTTATGAGGAGGCATCCAAGGGAAGTCCCTTCCATCCATTCAGCAATGAGTCCTTTGCTAATGGTAGTACATTTCCAGCTTCAATTTAAGGTTTCAACAGATATTGAGTTTGATTTTAGGTTTTTTTTTTTTTTTTTAAGCATTGAACAGCTTTTTTGTCTAGTATTTAGTTTGACAGGAGGATGTATATATATGTGTGTGAAAATTAAGACACCCTGGTACTTAAAATATCAGAAGTTTCTAAAATTATTTAAATATTTTTAATAACTCTTTTTTACATATCGATTTATTAAAAGTATTTAAGTCTTTTCATAAGCAATCTTGGCATTTCAAAAATTATGTATATATGTGTGTGTGATCTATTTCGTTTGTTCCAAACTGAAAATGGATAGATGATGGCAAAGAATTGTGTAGAAAGAACCTAAAATGCTTTAGGGGCAATGTTGCAGTGAGGCAATGTCTCCTATTTTTATTTTTGGTGTTTATCATATTCTCAAAACCTTTTTAACAAATAATTACTTATTCTATCTTAAAATAATTATCTTTTTATAAAAAAATAATTATTTTTTAACTCAAAATTTGATCCAAATTAATTATTGTTAATTAGACCTAAAAGGAAATTTTTACTTGTATTTTATGAGTATAGATTAAAATTTTTTTAAAAATAGTTAATTAAAATTAATTAAAAATAATAATTTTATATTTTTAATAAAGTAACGTGTGAAAAATATTTGTACCAAGTATTGGCAAACAAGCAGTCACGTTTTGCTCTTTTTTCTTCAGGCAGTCCCAACTACAACTAAAATGCCGTTAATAAATCTCTATAAATTATTTATAAATAATTCTTTAAAGCGGCAATAATTACTCTGCGTTTTGTTTGTTGAGTTTATTATTATCGTCAGATTACAACATAGAAATTTACATGTCACTGCTACATTGCAACTCTGCTGCTTTATCCGATAACTTGTCTGAAAGGTTAGCTACGAATGAAACCTGCAAAAGCCTGTATCCAACAAAATTTGATGAATCAAGTCCTTCATTTGCATACTGCTAGAAGGCATGAAGGCTGTAATTGAAGTTATGATTGCCACCAGAACAACTTTTTGGTTCTTCAATTTGGCCTAAAGATACTGGATTAAACATTTGGATTAAAAATGATATTGAAAGTAAGCTTGCATGTACCAAAATGCAGCCGAAGATGTAGACTGCAGAGAAGTGACGGCCGTGTATAACCATGTCAGCTACCATTGCAAGGGGTATCGTCAAGGACATACCTAGAGTTACAACTAATGGATTTCTCCAAACAACAGAAGGGGCCCTGCATTTTTTTTTGAAGTAAAAAAAATAAAATAAAAATTCTGAGTTTGAAGCTTATAACATGCATATGCAACCTGCTGAGCTGAAAAATAAAAATAAATAAATAATAAAATTTATCCCAAAAAAAAAAAAAAAAAAAGTATATCAGCTCATTTGAGGCCTTAACCACCTCTCTTCGGTTGGATCTGTCTGCAAACTAAAGATTCATTTCATGTTCCATGTCAAGCTCCATAACAAAAATTGTACTCTTGAACTAGTCCAAATAAAAAAGAAACAAAAAGGAATAAAACAGAAAATTGTTACCTTGAAGACAACTGTGGATGATAATCCATCAACTAACAATATGTTTAGGTTGAGGAGAATGGAGCGTAAAGAAAAAATTCCTTTATTTGATTATTAAAAAAATTAAAGAGGAGGAGAGGGGAGGAGAATGAAGTTTTTTAGTTTACTTTTTTTGTTTTTAATTTATTAATTCATCCAAGTGAGAAGAGGGGAGGGGAGGGGAGGGGAATGGAGGGATAAAATTTTCCTTCTCTCCATTCTCCTCAACCCAAACATACAGTATGTTCAACCTATATATCATCCCACATAACGAAAACTATGATTTATAAGATATAGGAGAATCAATGGCATGTTCTTTAGACTGACAAACTCCAAGCAACCAAAAATAGATTGCCAGTCTAATCTGCTTCTGTGAGTTAGGTGATTAAGATGAAAAGTTGCCTCACTACAGAGGAATGCCTCCACCTGTATACTCGAATTCCAGAATTGAACAAAGAAAAAATAGCTGTATAGCCAAAATAAAGAACACAGAATGCTTTGAAAAGTTCCACTGAATGCTTTGAAATTCCATAAAAAACACACAGTCACAGATCTTATTGAGTAAATAACATTGATTCCGTATAGCCAAAATAATAATAATAATAATAATAATAACAATAATAACATGGATTCCGAGAACCACTCATGATTAATTTCTGCCCCACTAGAAAGATATCAACAATGGAATGAACAAAAGACAAAGGAACATAGAAGTTTCCTGTGTACCGAACCTCCATGAGTAAGCCCAATTCAAAAGTTATTCCTATTATCACTGTCTTTCATATCAGGAAGCCATCTTATTTTGAATAGAAAAAGAATGTTTGTCCTTCCCACCCCCACCCCCCAACACCCAAAGATTTTATTTCTACCAAGGAAAATGAAAATATCAGTTACAAAGGAAGCAAGAGGAAGAAATGACAAACCTGGGCAGGGGGTAATGATGAAACCCAGTCTGATGCATGTGTCAGAAGAAGCCCCAATGTGTTAAGCTGCTAAAATTGAATTAAATATGAAAAATTGAAAATACTGGAGGTAGCAAAGTTTACTCAAAAAATCTTCTCTCCTTTTTCCTTATCCTCCCTTCTAGTAATATCTATTTTGAGAGACAGCCCATTTTAAAAATAGTAGGCAAATATATCTCACCTTCCAAACACCATGAGCTTGACCCCCCAAATTAAGGGCAATGAAGAGCAGTTGGGGACCAAGAAGATCTACTTTACTGTCTTTATAGGGTTCAAAACCCGCAAAATATCAAAGTCAAGTTTGGATAAATGAACTTGAGGAGCACATACAAAATATCATACAGGTGCCAAATATCACGTGCAAAATTAGATCTAGAAATTGATGCTATGTGAAGCTCACAATGGGTAACTTACATAGCCTGAGATTTGGAAGAAAGAAACAGTAACAGACCTAATTATACCAAACAAACAAATAATCGTCTACTGTGTCCAGCTTACCGTATCCAACCCCCTTGCAAAGCACTCATAGGCCGCCAAAGAGCTGAAAATGTGTTGCCAATACTAAAGAGATGCACTGAACTGCCAGCCATCCACATCATGA